GGTTTAGGTGTTTAGGGGTTTAGCGTATAGGGTTTAGGATTTCATCGGCCGTAAAATACGGGCCGTAACAATTCGGATAGGGTTGCCCTATGGGTTCAGTTACAAGGTCTTGAGGGGTTGCGGTGTAGGATGTAGGCTCAACTCTAATTCATACCCATATGTAGTCGTTTCCCCAAGGAAAAGCAACACCATCAGCACCATTCCGAGTCCCTGAATAACTGCAGCATGCAACATCTTTGCAGCATGCCACACCAAATTGAATTCGGAAATGCTTCGGCATTGTCGTCGATCTGTTCTTACACAACGGCAATCCTTTTCAATGGGTCGAGGGGCCAGTGATGGGAGCGATTTCAGAGCGGTTGTCCGGAGCGTTCTCTCCACCCCACCCCACCAAAGCGCGCAAATCTATAGTCGCGAAAACCACTGAAGAGCCAAAGTCCCATGCCTGAGCCTCCAAAATCCCCTTGGTCGACCGCTTCTAAACGAATGGCAGTACCATTTGCCCCTGATCCCCAAACACAGAAGCCCAACGTTTTCAGGCCTCGAGCTTCTAAAGATGCAACCTTTGTCTTTGACACCTTTTTCCAAGAGCAGTTGCTGACCTCAGGGTTTATGGGTTTAGTGTACAGTCAAAAACCCACAGACCGACCCTTCTTCTGACTTTCGGCCCAAAGCGTTCGGGACCCGGCCCATGGAACATCTCGGACCTGCTGATAGAGGTACCTGTGACATCACTAAGGCGCCCAATGCCGCGTCACTCAGAACCGACGTCCTAAACCCTATGGTGCAACTGGCCAGCAACGACTCTGTCAGGCTGGACGCTCCACCACAACCACTGAAACCCGTCATGAGTCTCACTTGGCTCTATCGCAGTGCTCTAGGCTCCCTCATATCACGTACGGTAACAGCCCATGTTTTGAAGAACTGGAGCCTTAGTGGCTTCTGCTCTAACACCGTAGAGGGGAAGTGCCAACTCAAAGACGCCCGAGTATGGCCAACAAAAAGCTCGACAGCCCAGGGATTAAGTCCTAGGGCTTGGGGTTTTTTCGGAACCAGAGCATGCATTTAAGGCTTCGGATGTCATGGATCCAACCCACCTGTGGTACCAAGGGTAGGCGCATCTTTGATTCTGCGGTCCAGGGGTCAGGCATCCCAAGTAAGCCATGAATACTACACCAAGGCAGGAGACAGAATCACTTGACTCCGGAATGGCTCTTGCGTTCGTAAGGCTGTCCGAACAGTGCTAGGCAAGTTGGACTACAGGGGGCGAGCAGGTTCGAAGCCACTGCAAGAAGTCATATTGCTGCGATTTCCATCAGCCTGAGTCTGCCAGGCAGAATGGTTTTACTAATTCGGCTTCATGAAGCCGTTGAGGAACTGAGGCCTATTGCGATACGGCGGATTTCAGCGGCTTGCTGGGGTACAGTTGTACCGGGGGTGGAGGAGTTCAAGAGGTTCCATCGTGCAAACCACGACTCATTCTACATTTCGACGTTCAGGCTCAACATGAGGGCAGGGCGACTACCCGCTTAAGCTCCGCATATGAGACACACTGTTTGGGTAGAGAAACTTGTTGAACCCTGTTTCCTGGCATCGTTCTTCTCGAGGCTTCTGTACCGTCTTCTGCTGCCTTCGCCAGGACACTGCCTCGTCCCAGGCCTGCTTTACAGCCTGGTTCGAGAAATCCTGGGGCCGTATGAAAACGCCCAGCTTCTTACCTCCGATGTAGCATTGGGCGTGCCAGCACTGGGCCTTCACATCCCATGTCACCCCCTTTTCAGGGCCGAGCTTCTCAATGCATCTCAGGTCTGAATTCTTCCTCACCGGCAGGACCTCGATGTCAGGTTGAACTCCGAGCTGCACTGCCAACTCCCGAGCCTTGGCCTCGGCTTTCTCCTTAGCACGGAAACAGCCGCCATACACTTGCTTCCTCGTGACCGGATGATACAGCCGAACATGCCACTTCTGCTGACTTCGATCAAAGAAGACGCCCCTCACTGTTGACCGGGGGGTCGCAGCAGTGGGCTTGGGCGGCTTCAACTTGCCCTGCTGCACGAGCTCCTCACGGTAGGCCTTCGCTTCCTGCAGCGCGGCCTCGACAGCCGCCTCATCTCCCAGGCCCTGCTCCAGGAACTTGGAGATGGGAAATGACCGACAGGTGTTCTTCCATTTCGTGCTATTCCGGGTGAAACACTGGCATTTCCAGGACCCTCCCACCACACTCCAGGTGATGTTTTGGATGCCGCTCTGGCGCTCGAGTCTTACTCGCACCCTGTGAGGCTTCAGCTGATGAGAAGCCTCAACTTGCATTTCTGTAGCGACTTGGGAGCCTTGCACCTCTGTGGCCGAAGGTGAAGGTGTTTCTGTGGGCAGCAAGAGCTGGTCGACTGCCTGCTTGATTTTCAGCCAAGCCTTCCCCGCAGCCGCACCGGCAATCTCGCCAACCTTGTCCTCAAACTTGTTGATCTTCTGTTGCACGAAATCTAGGACATGTTCGATGGCATGACAGTCGAATTGGTTCATCCGCCACACATGGAGAACGTGCAGCAACAACGACCGCACACGTCCCTGCAGATCAGGGTTCGGATCGCGCGATTCCGCAGCGGCAGCTGTTTCAGCGTCGCTGAAGTTTTCAGCATCCGCACCCTGTGGCCTCCCGTCTCTGCGAGGAGCGGCCAGGCAAGCTGCTGCCAGGATGACGATCTCCGTCAACTCTGCTTGGCTCAGGATCCTCCGAGGGCACTTTGCTGCCTGCTCTGCTTGCTTCAAGCGCTCCAGCTTCTGAGCGTCGCTTAGAAAACCCCACTCATTCATCTGTCTGAACAATGTCAGGTGCTGGTCAGACCGGGCAGATGCACAGTTAGATGCCGCATGGGCCGTTTTACCGGTTCCACAGGCATGCACGACTTCGTCCAACTCGGCTTTCAGTTCTGCGTCACCAACATCATCATCTGCAGCAGCCACCTTGGCCAACGACTTCTCGCAGCGACGGCGCAACGTCCGAAGGCTCTTTCGCAGCTGCCGTTCCGCTTCATTCCAAGCCTCATTGGCCGGTCTTCTAGGGAGAGACTGGAGAAAGGCTTGCATGTCCAAGAGGACATGTCTCAAACGAGATGGTAGCCGTGAACCATCCATCTTGTCCGTGAGCTGCTTCAAGAGATTCAGCTCTGTCACTTCGGGAACCCGCCCCTTTGGGCCATAAGCGATCCAGGAGGCCACTGGGGCAGCATGCCTTCGTAGGCCTGCCTGGTCGAAGTGGTCTGCTTTCTTCGAGTACCTGCTGATCCTGAGTTGTCTGATCAGAGTTCGACCTTTCCTGCCTCTTGCTACTGCTGCCACCAGCCATACTAGTCTATTTGATATGTTGCGTTCATGGGTACAGCGGCACTCTCAAGACTGGGCACCTGGCTGCAGCAAAACAGAGCCTCCTGTCGACTACTATCTACGCAAACTGCAATTACTGTCACTGTCACCACTATAGTGCTACCACGATGACGACTCCGAAGACTGCCGCTGCTGCTCCTGCTGCTGTCCACTCCGAGTGGTAGTGACAACTGCTGGGCCCTTCTTTCCCTTGATCATGTTTCTGCGGCCAGAGGAGTAATTCTCAAGATGATCTGTTGGCGTTTTTTGGCGGAGGTGCAGGTGGTGGCTGCGGTAGCGTTGGTTTTGTGGGGCTGCTGTTGATGAAAGCACTGGGAAAAGCATGAGGCAGGTGTGTTCCTCTCGCCACTGCTGCTGCAGCTTCTGTTGCTGCTGCTGTCGTTGACGATGCCGGCATCGCTACTCTGCTGCTGATGCAGTCGCCCTACTGCTACTGTTGTTCTTATTCGTTCTTGTTGTTACTGCCGCTGTTGTGCTTGTGATTGTTGTCGGGGTTGTCGTTGCCCGTGACGTGTGACTTTATCGAGGTGGTTGCCGTTGGTGTTTGCTGTTGTTGTTGTTGTTGCGGTGGTGGTCGTCATCGTCGTTTGCTGCGGTTTTGCTGCTGGTGGCGTTGGTGATGGTGTGGCTGCTGCAGTGGTGGTATCATTTTCATGAACACCGTCTGTCCGAAGGGCCTCGCAAGCTGTAGTCGCTCGTTACTCAGATGGCGCATGTCACTGACTCTCCAAAGAAAGGCCCAGCAGCACCACCGACTTGTGCGCATGGCGGTGATACTGACGAGCGTGTCTGTGCAACCGGCAGCTTTGTGATCGTGCCATGGCGGCTTGGGTCCCTAGGTATCGGCATTCTGGAAAATGTGCAAACTCTGCGACTCCCTAGTTGCAGTTAGTGCTGATACTTGTAGCACCACAAAGTATACGCCCCACTCCACGTCAAGTGTGCAGCCCCTGCCTTCATTCTGATTCATCCATCCACTTTGAAGATCTTCGAAGTCTCGGTCACGGGGACAATGCAAGCAGGTCCGAAAGGAAAACCCTGCGCCCCAGAAAAGAATATTCAGTCTGCCATCAAGCATCAAACACGAATTTAAGGACGGCCCTGTAGGGCATGTTAAGGAAGTGAAATGAACTACTTTCACACCCATAAATCCCAATACCAGTTGTACCGGGAACACATTCCAAAGGCCCTCACCTCATCACTCGCTCGCCATCGTCCACGGTGTTGGACGACAGCTGCCACCTGCAGAGTCGGCAGGAGCCGTTTCCATGTCAAGCGGCTGAATTATCGTCTACATCGTTGAACTTTGCCGTAAGACCGAAAGATCACATGCCGTGCCCGTCGCACAGTCCAACCTCCAAAACATCAAGTTCTGGCTTCGAGTGGAGGCTTAACGCGAGGAGCCGCATGGGATCGGCAGCATACTTAGCAACAAAAAGCTGCGAACAGCATCAAGTCACGTCATGCACGAAGCTCAGGGTTGCATGGCGGTGCAGCGGAAGACGGTAGAACGAACGAAAAGACCCATGCGAGTCCCAACGGGAGCTATATATCACGAAGAACAGCACAAGAAAGGCAGAAGAGTCCTTTGGAGGTGCCTCCTCCCCCCTAGGAAACTGTTCTGGGAAGCGTTCAGGAGTGAGGTTCATGAGTTCGATGTTTCAGTTCCAAAGCCAGAAAAAAACTTCAAAAGGTGAGCTGGTCCTTGGGCTGGCTTGCTCAGGAATCCCAAGCCGGCTTTACAAAGCGGGGCTTAAAACCCTAAACCCCTAAACCCCTAAACTGCCCCTAAACCCTAAACCGTTTAAACCCCTAAACTACCCGAAAACCCTTACAGCTTACCATCTCTCACAGGTTGAAGCCTGACTCTGGTGAGGGCAGGACTTGGAGTCGATGGCAGTGTAGGTTCTGTTTAGGGTTTAGGGGTTTAGGGGCTAGGGGTTTAGGGGTTTGGGTTTGGGGTTTAAGAGTTAGGGTTTAGGGGTTTAGGGGTTAGGGGTTTAGGGGTTTGGGTTTGGGGTTTAGGAGTTAGGGTTTAGGGGTTTAGGGGTTAGGGGTTTAGGGGTTTGGG